TCCCCTTTTCTCTGTGCCTAACTCATCGCTCTCATATATCTCTGCGCCTAATTCTTCTTCTTCTCGCCTCCTTTTTTCTCCTATTTCTTTCTTCCATTGCTGCGCCTAACCTTTTCTCCCCTCTGTCTTCAGGTACTCCCTCTTCTATCTTTTTTTCGTTTCAAACGTGAGAGCTACAGTGCTCGAATGAACGGAGGTCATTATTGACACACCATTTGCAAGCCTCTTCAATGGAGTTGAGCTACAATATATCTCTTCCATCCCTTTTTCCTGGCCTTTCGGTATGCCTCTTTCTCCATTCTTTCCATTTTCTTCATTTTTTTGTTATTTTTTTTATTTCATGAATAATAGTTTGTACTTCGTATATCTTGTAATGTTGAATGGTTGATTATTTGTTGTTATTGTGAAGCTTTTCGATGTTTTTTATTGAAAATTTTGTCCAATTACTCTATGTCATCACTATGCCCATAACATGTTTGTTGAAATGATTCAATGAATTTTTTGTTTATACTCGGTATCATATTATATTTGATGATTTTTGGATTTTGTTTTGTAATTTTCCACTTCAAATTGTGCATAATTTTGCTTGTTTGACTACTTTACTTTATTGTTGTGATTTTGCTATGTATATTTTTGAAGTGTTAGTGTTAAACCTTAGTGAAATTAGGGTTCTTAGCAAAAGAGTTACAAATTTGCTCGAGGCTACATATACACAAACAATTTGCGCCTGCACTACATAGTTATTGAAATATTAAGTTCTCCATTCCATGTCTGCATTCAAGAATATAATCTCTTAAGGTAGTTAGAATGGACTTTCTTCTTCTTTTGGTCTAGAGTAATTCCTTACTATTAGCCTATTAGGCATAGTTGGGCTGCAATTAATAATCAAATATGGAAATTGCAATGTCTAGTGACAGGAGAGTATGCAAAGCAGTGTCTGGACTTAGCTGTGGAGTTGGGTCTCCCTTCAATAGATTTATGGTCCAAAATGAAGGAAACCATAGGTTGGCAGAAGATATTCTTAAGCCGACCACAAAAGAAGCAGACGAAAGCATGGAACTCCAAGAAGTAGACGAAAGTAGTTGGCTGCTATGGATGATTTAGCTTCTCCAAATGACAATGCTGACAAGTAGAATAGTGTTTTTAATTGGACCGCAAAGCTTGATAATGGAGTTTCCAAAAAAAGAGTTAATTATATTTTCGAAGTGTATCTTTTGTATTATGACAATGACTTTGAATTTTGGCGAATGACATGTTGTAATTTAGTTGAATAATAGGTAATCTAATACCCATTTTGGTATAAGTTCGTTGAAGAGCATGTAAAGACATGTTTTATGTTTGTTGAAAAGCATATAGAGACATGTTGTATGTTTGTTCAATAGCTCCACACGATAAATTTATGGCCGAGACAACTATTGTAACACATTGTAACTATCGTTAGTAATAGTTTGTGCCTAAAAATTTATTTTGTGTTTAAATAATAGTTGTATGTAAATTGTCTGTGTACAGACAATATTTGTGTGTACAGACAATATTTGTTTGGCTGTGTACAAGTTTTATGTGTGTACAGACAATTTCAATACAAGTTTTATTTGTGACAAACAATTTTTTTGTTTTCAAAGTGAATTGTGTGTGAAATGAATAAAAAAAATTGTTAGACATGAATTGTTTGGCACAGACAAATATTGTATGTTAGACAAAACTCTTTCGTCAAATGCAGACACGAATTGTCTGGGAAAGACAAATATTGTCTGTTAGACAGAACACTTTTATCAGGCCCAGAAATGAAATGTCTGAACAAATAAATATTGTCTGTTACACAAAACTCTTTTGTCTGGACCAAACACGAAATGTATGGCACAGACAAATATAGTCTGTTACACATAATTCTTTTGCAAGATCCAGACACAAAATGTCTAGCACAGACAAATATTGTCTGTTACACAAAATTCTTTTGCAAGGTCTAGACAACATGAAATGTCTGACACAAACAAAATGCCATTGTGTGTTTAGGGTAAAATATTTTCATTTTTTAAAATTTATGTTTTTTTGTTTTCTGAAAGCAAACCCCCCATTGTGGGGTATACACTACAATATACATAGTATGTTGTTATGATGTTGATTTGAAGTGAGTGCTTATTACATTGTTGTATTAGTTTGGATTTGTGTTGCCACACACACATCTATCCTTATTAAGGATTAGTTGTCTTTATCCAAAGAATAAGTGTCCTGCCCAGACAATAATTATATGTGCCCACAAAATAGTTGGCACTTACCCGGCAATAGATGTCAATGCCAGATAGTAGTTTTTTGTGCCATACAATAGTTGTTTGTGTCTGTTTAATATTTGTTTGTGTCAATACAATAGTTTTTTGTATGAGTAAAGTTACCTTCCTAAACATATCTAGAAACGATAATTAGATGTAAATACATTATATACAGTTCACACACAAACTGGTAAAAAGATGAACAATATGATAGTCTGTAATTATGCATAAATGAGTTTAAAATGACGTAAATTCGTTGATAGTCCGTAGTTATGCTCTGGTTCACCATTTCCTTCACTGAAGGTTCCCATCTTTATTTCAGCATTTTCTTCACTTAAGGTTTCTTCACTCATGTCTTCTGAGTGTGCTTCTAACCATCACAGCACTAGCAGAGCTACAACAAAAAAGTGAAATATTAATGTATTCGTAGTATACCTTGCAAGTTTGAAGGGGTATAAATAACAAGGATTACATAGAAAAATTTACTTCAAAGTATACGCTCTACCCGCTTTGGCCTTGCACAGCCTCATATACCGACTGCAAGGCTGCAAGGGACTTGGATAGGGAGAACAACTCACATAAAACAAAATGAATATGAGTTTCCATAAGCTACGAGCAATCACAATTAACAAGTCATATTCAAAATCAACATTTAATTTAATTAAATTTGTAGCAAATACATATCCCATTGCTTGTATATATGAACAATTCAAAATCAACATTTAATTTAATTAAATTCGTAGCAAATACATATTCCATTGCTTGTATATATGAACACTACTTGGTGAAATTTAAGGCTGATATCTTAAATTTCAATACAATCAAATCATTTCAACAAACATCTTATGAGGCATGAGCATAAAAGTGGAATAGAATAGTTGAATTACAATTTTAAAAATAAATCATCACAAATCTATACCAATATAGCAATACAATAGTGAAAGAGAATACACTTTAGATGCATCAATTCTTGAAAAAATAAAACATAAATTCAGGAAAGAATAAAACCTATTGAAACTGTAATTGGTATTAACAGAAAAGGAGAAAATTCTCCTCTTTTTTCCCAAAAAAGTCATAGATATTAAAAACCCTAAAATTAGAAATTGGGTAAAGAAGAAAGGGATAGAGGAGCATACAGAAGGGAGTTATGGACAGGAGTAGACCATTTTTATCAATGTTGTATGTATTAATTCGAGCTGCAACAGTGCGGTTAGTGCTGAAGTTGGTCTTCAAGTACTATCCGACTGTGGGCGCTAGGGATTCTTCACACCAAAGAAGAAGGAAGAGGGAGTACCTGAAGACAGAGGGGAGAAAAGGTCAGGCGCAGAAAAGGAAGAAAGAAATATGAGAAAAAAAAGGCGAGAAGAAGAAGATGAATTAGACGCAGAGATATAAGAGAGCGATGAGTTAGGCACAGAGAAAAGGGGAAAAGGAGATAGAAGGGTTAGGCGCACGAAAAGGAAGGAAAGAAGAGAAAAAAAAAATTGGACTATTTATATGGGGTGTAAATGGGGTAAAAGGTGAGGTACCTATAGCAAAATTGTTATAATGTTCCGTCATGAGAACTTTTTCTTTTCCAACCGGTGTGAGACAATTGCATCATACGGAAGAAACGAAAGTGAAGTGGGATTTCTAAGTTTCTTACATGCTGAAGGAATAGACACGGATATTGAATATTAAATATTATTATGATATTATATTATTATAACTTTAAATTGAAAATGATAAATCAATACCCCGTACCAGTTTTTAGTAATATCACTATACACTATATATATTACATTATCGCTAGTATATTTTTATTATCGATCCTCACCATTATAATTTTTATTAGAGGTTTATCTAAAGTATTAATCCCTACCATAATAAAATTAATGGATACAAGTGTGACTAAGGATGTTTTTACTTGGACTGTAATTTGCTAGTCTGGTCTGGTCTGGTCTGATCTGGTCTGGTCTGGTCTGAACTGGTCTGGTCTGATCTGGTAAGGTCTGGTTTCTTTGTATTTTTATAACTATCCAAGTCTGGTCTGGTCTGGTCTGGTCTGAACTGGTCTGGTCTGGTCTGGACTGGTCTGGTCTGGTCTGGTCTGGGACAAATTACAGTCCAAGTAAAAACATCCTTATTACTGTAAATTTATTTTTATAGTTACTACTATCGTATAATATAAAGTTTCAACCTAATAGTCACTCAAAGTTGGTAAGATACATCTTGTTCAATATTTTTTTTTGATTATATATTAGATACTATGTATTACTCTTTTTATTAATTAATATCACTATGATCATTAAACTACTTTTTCCAGTTTTGTTTTTTGTGTAATTAGTAAACATATTTTCCAGATTTAGGACATGACAAATCCCTTTTCGTTGAATTTTTGAATAGAATGATGTTCTTGAATGACAATATTTAATATTAAACTTAAATATTAAAAATAGTTCTAGGAAAATTTTAAAAAAATGATAAAAAGTCAAAACGTCTTTTTACGTCTAACTCCGCCTAGACTTCAAAGGCTTAAGCGTGCAGCCTTGGGTAAGATACACTTTTTGAATTATCTTGAAAATATTAACACTTTCATAAATTGAACTTCATTCATTATTACTTTCTCATTTTATCATTTTATATCTTTTACATTATAGTGTAAAAACTTGCCCTGGGATACAATTGCGAGCTCTCTCAGTCACCATCGACGCTGCCCAATTTCCGTCCGGATCAAGCCTCAACAGTCAAGGCACGCTGTCCTTCGCAGTAGACAGACTTCACAAATTTTCCTTTCTGGTTCAACCTATTGCTGTGTTCCAGAACTGATTCAGGTACGACGCTTATAGTTCATTTCGCATACTATTGCGCGCTGTTCTCTCGATGCATTTTCCCGGATCTTTTTGTGGACTCCAGAATCTGCAATTTGATTCATTCTTCTTTCTGTTGCAGGCTTGCACAATTTGAGATTCTCAGCGGCAGCGACTTAACTGCAAGACGGTAATTGAGGTTGGTTTTTATCCTTCACATATACGGAGTGTTGTTTACTTATTTCCTGATTTTCCTAGGTTTTTTATTTTCGGGATGCTACTATGAGTTTTTGTCTTTGTTCTATATATATAAACAATTCCTTTTATAGGAGAATCCAGAAGCTAGTTTACTGTCATTTCCTTTGAAGTTAAGTTTTAGGGTTATACGGAGTATTTTTGGTATATACCAGGCTTGAACAGGCAGAAACTAAAGATATGCCCAGACGACCAGGCTCTAGAGGAGAGCAACAATAAAGAAAAAAGAAATAAAGATAGAGAAAAATGATAACTTTGAAGCTTAAATCAAGATTTCCTAACAGTGGATTCCCCAACATTTGTTCTTAATATATTAGTGCTGATAAACGAATTTGTACCTTTTCTTGCATGCTCGTGCTTCTTAATACTCCCTTTGTCCCCCTAACTTTGTCCCGTTTTACCTTTTTCGTCCGTCCCACTAAGTTTGTCCAATACCATATTTGGAAATATTTGGGTGGTAACAATTCAATCTTACTCTATTCACACTTTTTCAATACCAAACACAACAATTCCACTTTTTCTTAAAAGTTGTGTCACTGTTAGGTTATCGCTAATCTCAACAGTAATTCGAAGGTAGAAATGGCAAAGAAGATCAAAAGCAGTAGTTTATTGATTGTCGTTAAGAGAAGAATACAGTCCCAAGTCGTTTCCGACTCCCAGCCCCAGTCCAATCCAATCCCAATTTCTGCCTAACCTCCTCTTTCCTCACTTCCCACTCTTATAATAAAGCTACTCTCAAGGGCTGGCCCAAAATCACAACATAAATGGCCCAACACCCTTATTTGTACACTATTACATTATTTATTATAATTCTATTATTCTTATTATTATAGGCTGTCCATGTCCCTATCATATCTCCCCCCTTGAACAACCACCTTGTCCTCAAGGTGGGTGATAGGAAACAGCCTTGTTGTCCTTCAACATCTTCTTCATCCGGGCACCTCTTCCTTCCCAGTATCTCGCAGAGTCGCAGTTTGTTGAATTAGAAGCTTCAGTACTTGTACCTCCAAAATCACAGATGTTGCTGCTGCAGAAGATATGTCGAGTGCAGTTTCATTTGTTGCAGTGGCCTTCAAGCACTCACTGGCTACAATTAATTCCTCTTCTTCAAAAAACTCCTCAAGGACTCTTACTTCTGAAGCTATCACTGAGTTGGATGCAGATTTTAGGTTGCTCAAATTACTCAGTTCACTGTCTACAACAAGCCTTATGCAAAATAAGTTGTGCACCACAGTACTGCCATGCGATGTCAGATTCTCCAACCGCCAAAGTCCCAAATCTGGGAAGTTTTCTTCTTTCTGTTCCCTTATAAGAGAGCCAATAGCTCTTGCAGCAATAGAATGAGCTTCAGGGACTGGTTCCTGATGAACTTCGGGCAGAATACTCAAAAACATATTGGTTTTCTGATTCTTAAAAGTGATGAACGCGCCAAACTCCTTTATTTTATGAGCATGTCCTTCAATATTGCTACCAAGAGCAAACTTATCTATCCATCTCAGTCCAAAATCAGAGGAGTCCCGAATTGCAGAAAATACCACATTGCAGCCTTCCACGTCCAGAACCGAAAGCTGATCAACTTTAAAATCAGGCTTCAAGATAGACTTCATTAACCCAACCTTATCAATAAGATCAATGGCTGTATCTGGAAGATATCTATCACTCTTGTATCTAGCTGACAGTTGCACAGCAGCTGTTATGGCCTCATAAGTATATTTATACTTACTATATTCATCATTCTCACTCAGCCCTGGCGGTATCTGGACAGTATCCTCCTGGCTCTGTTCATGAACCCTTATAGGTTGAAACCCCAGCAATGGCCTTAACAGATTAGCAAAGCCAAGTCCAGAACCCTTGCTTCCTCTCTCATCCGGGTCCAAATCAATTAGAGTAAGGATCTTATCGATAAGAAGAATGAAATTTCCATACTTCTTGACCTCCCCAAGTAATGTAGTCACACGAGCCTGCAGTTCTCCAGAGAAGTACAAGAATTTCATCATCACAGTAAGATGCCCCGCAAACTCCCTCCTTGGTGCAACCGAATAGCTGGAGTTTAATTTAGAGTCCTGAACATACCTCAACTCAAACTGGGAAGCAAAATCTGGCAAGCCATTGTAGTACCAAACAACAAAACCATGCTTTTCAATCTTCATTATCCATCCCTGTTTGATTAGTCCCTCAGTAGCATCAGTGTGTGAACTAATGATTCCTTGAAGCTTCTTTCCATCTTTTTCCTCTTCTATTTTCTCAATACTAGCAGTCCAGGCACCAAAAGATAGTGAATTTGTTTTCACCCTGCCCCATAATTGTTCCCCTTCATTGCTAAATGCTGTGTCTCTCATTTGGCCACTAATTCCATTTGTAGAACCCGAATGCGAAGGAGCTTGAGATTCATTTGTTTGTCCAGTAACAGTAAGGATGTCCTGATGAGCATAATCTGTTAACAGTAACAGTAAGGATGTCCTGTTACATCTATCTACCAGGTATGCAGATGTAACAGGATCTCCAAGACTAGTGTGTTCCACTGAATATTCAGTACCTATATAAATTTCAGGAACCACCTTGGTCTCCAACTCAAAAGTATTTGAGTCAGTAACTTTAAAATCAGAAGATTTATTTTCCCTGTCAATTGAGGATTGCTTCACCCCATAAGAGTTCTCTTGTCCTTCGTCACTATCGATGAACGTATCTTCCGAGATAAACGTATCTTCAGAAAGAGGTTGCTGCCGACTCACATACTGCTGAGAAGTGGTTTGCAAGTGCGAACTGGGAGATACCGTTCGCGAGTGCGAACCAGGAGATTTTTCTGCTGATCGCATCGCACTTTGATGTGAACTGTGAGAAGTTCTTTTCAATCGTGATGATTCCCGGTTTTCTGTCTTCCGCCTGCGTATAGGTTGGAAACTTCGAATTGTTGCTTCCTTTAGAACTTCCCAATTACTTTCTCTCGTTCCAATTTCCCACAATTGAAACCAATTGTACACCCTTTCCTCCATCGCTTCTTCTGCGACTCTAACCTTGTATTTTTCGGCAGTACCATTAAGTCTGAAGTAGCGTTCCATCCTAATTATCCATCTGTGCGGGTCATCCCCTTTGAATACAGGTAATTTTTGTGATTCCTCTGGACTGACGTGATTTCTCGCGTTCCTAAGGTGCGAAGTGGAATGCGAACTGTAAGAAGAAGCTCGAGACTTACCTCCGGCTTCATCGCGAGTCTTCCGCACTCCATCGCGAGTCTTCCGCACTCCATCGCGAGCCTTCCACACTTCATAGCGAATGCGCTGGGCCTCTTCGTGCATGTTTTCATGATCGCGCATCACCTCGATGCGAGTCTTCTCCAACTCTCGCATCATCTCCAGGTGACTTCGTTCCAGCTCACTTTCCAGATTTTCCAATCTTCCTTCCATCGTTATTCTTGTTGATCCTCTCATAACGACCATGTACAGGTAACCAGATCGATGCTCTGATACCAATGTTAGGTTATCGCTAATCTCAACAGTAATTCGAAGGTAGAAATGGCAAAGAAGATCAAAAGCAGTAGTTTATTGATTGTCGTTAAGAGAAGAATACAGTCCCAAGTCGTTTCCGACTCCCAGCCCCAGTCCAATCCCAATTTCTGCCTAACCTCCTCTTTCCTCACTTCCCACTCTTATAATAAAGCTACTCTCAAGGGCTGGCCCAAAATCACAACATAAATGGCCCAACACCCTTATTTGTACACTATTACATTATTTATTATAATTCTATTATTCTTATTATTATAGGCTGTCCATGTCCCTATCAGTCACACCCTCTTGTCCCAAACATAGTGAGATGGAGGTAGTAGTCAATATATGATAAGGCCATATAGGGCCTGAGTACTACTTGAAATGACAATGCACCTGGCTAGGATTTTCTGGTTGTGTATGTTTTTAATTGGACTAAAAGTTTCTGATCTGATAGATGTTTATTTTATATGTATTGTACTAATGTCTAAATTTGGGACTTTGGGTTAATCTGGTCTAGTCTGATATGGTCTGAGACTCAAATCAGTCCAATTAAAAACATCTTAACTTAAGTAGTTACATGTGTGAGTAGCTATATAAAATGAAGATTAAGTATTGTTTCTTAAATGCACAAGTCTTTCTTCTGCACAACTGAACTAGTAAAATGTGGTTGTTTCTAATCTATCCACTTGGAGGTTTGAAGACTTGGGGCTTGTACTTATACTTGTGTGCTGGCTCATTTACTCTTGATTAAGAGCACTTGTTCATTTTTGTTATTTAAATCATATTCTTTTATTTTTTTTGTAATTTAACTATATGATTTTGCCAGCTGGTAGGTCATTTAAATATCTGTGGTTGTATATTGAGACCTCAGAGTTATTTAATTTTTTTGATAATCTAGTGGAATCAAGTGGTACATATGACTGCTTTGGCCGACAACTCCTCAAAGCACGGGGTGCATGAATTTGGAGCATCTAAGATCTCTCAAGAAATTCCAGAGGAAGGTGATGGTCATTGGTATTTCTCTAGGAAGGAGATTGAAGAAAATTCACCTTCAAGAAAAGATGGGATTGATTTGAAGAAGGAGACTTACATGCGCAAATCATATTGTACATTCTTACAAGATCTGGGCATGAGATTGAAAGTGTTAGTTTTCAACTTCTCTGTGTGTTTTTCATTATCAATTATCATCATTGTTGGCTCACTAATTTCAACTATTTGGGGTCTGGCATTTAACATTTTGTTTTGCCAATTAGTTTTATAAAACTAATTAGCGCTATAAATTCATTAAGAAGGATGAGTTGCAAATTTGCAATGTTTTACACCAGATACCATTCATGTTGCAACCTTTGCAGGAAGGAATAATGAGATGACATTTCTAAAATTGTCATCATTTTAGGTATATCCATATGTATGGAAAATATCCCAAGTGGCGATGAGTTGAGATATTTTTTTTATTGTCATGTTCTTTACATAATTGATGTTGCAACTTGCAGAGAAACATGTATATCATGTCTATATTCTCTGTGTAATTGAATTTCTTATTCTTCTTTCTTTGATAAATATAACAAAATGATTTTTATTTGGGGATTTAGTTTACCCTTGCCATACGCTAACTTTATTATGATTAAACTTAATTAGTCTATGACTCTATTCCTGAATTTCTTGTGTTGAAGATTTTTAAATATTTCTGAGTTTGATTAATTGGCAATTTTTCTAATCAATGACGAATCTGATGCACAGATTGGTATGAGTTACTGTGACATTTTCATGACATATTACTTTTTTGAATGTCATTTTGTTTGTAGTTGAAAATGGCACACACTTAGTCACAATAGATGGGTTTAGCAATGTCAAAATATCAAATGTAAATGTGGTTGTAAACGTATTTAATTTAGTGGTAAATTGGTAAGATTTTGCATCAGGATGTTTTATGTACAAATATGTACTTGAATTCTTTTTATATGATTTAATATTATGTTTGATGTTTTGACATTCAGACCTCAGTTGACGATTGCAACAGCAATAATATTTTGTCACCGTTTCTTTCTTCGTCATTCTCTAGCGAAAAATGATAGAAGGGTAAGTTATGGATTTATTTTCTGATTCATTCATTCTTACATCTATATTTTTCTACCTTTTCGTTTCTGAATCACCGAATGCACTAACCCAGTCCTAAGAAGTAGCTACTGTTGTTTGATGGAATCTAATGTTGCGTCATCCGGAAACAATCTCTGTGCTTTGCGGCACTGGGGTAATGTTGTTGTTGTAATCTAATGTTGTGTCATGCTTTATTTCACGCTTCTATTGTCTGTATGCATGGTGTTCGGGTATATATGTTACGGAGTACTATATAAGACATTATCAGTTGTTTAATATAGTTTTTTCCTAAATAATTTTCAACTATGCAATTTCTGTTTCATAATAAGTAGGCCGAGTCAAAGTAATAAAAATTAGGATAGAGGGAGTACATACTCATAAATTTTGGTATATTAACATGATTTATATATGTTGACTATTGAAACTGTACATTGGGAGTCCTGTAAATACTATGTGGTAGTAATTATTTTATGGAAATGACTTACTATCCAGAAATCATGTTTATTGATTATTTATGGTAATGACTTATTTTCCCGAAATCATTTTCATTTTCAAGTGTTGGTTGCAAATCAGAGATGTCTACTTTTGTTTGGTTCATTTTTCAGAAAATGAGTCGGTTGCCTTCTTACCGCAATATTAGTTACAAATCAATAAGTCAATACAACAACACCCCAGTGCCGCAAAGGCTTTCACCTACGGTGGGGTAAGGGGGTCGGATGCATGCAGTCTTACCCCTTGCTAAAGCACAGAGTTTGCGGATGACCCATATTGAAAATCGCGTCGAAAATTGCATGGATTGGCTACTGAATAAGTAAATAAATCAAATAATTAAATTTTCATTTTTTACTTTGGCAGACTATTGCCAGTGTATGCATGTTCCTTGCGGGAAAGGTTGAAGAAACACCTCGTCCGTTGAAAGATGTTATACTTGTGTCATATGAGATTATTCATAAAAAGGATCCATCAGCAGCTCAAAGGATTAAGCAGAAGGTATATTTCACTTGATCTGTAACTTCCGTTGGTCATGGTAAATTTCACTTGCTCTCTCTGATTTCCCATTTATGGTCCTATATGCATATAAAAGTTGCTTAGTATGATCCTATATGAATATTAAAGCTGGTTAGGCAAGTGATTTAGATTAGGAAGCTAATAGTGCGGCTTGAAAATAATAAAATGTTTACATGTTACACAGGAAGTCTATGAACAACAAAAAGAACTTACATTGCTTGCAGAAAGGGCGGTCCTAGCCACTCTTGCTTTTGACCTGAATGTGCTTCATCCATATAAACCTCTGGTCGAGGCAGTAAAGAAACTCAAGGTTGCTCAAAATGCTCTTGCCCAAGTTGCATGGAATTTCGTTAATGATGGGTAAGGATGATGTAACTAACTACTGCTCATTGTAGTTTTTTATGTATTTTTGTTATTGTTATTTGGTGTTGATGGGGGGAGAGCCGGCTGAATGCAGGCTTCGCACATCTCTATGCTTGCAATTTAAGCCTCACCACATTGCAGCGGGTGCCATTTTTCTTGCTGCCAAGTTCCTTAAAGTAAAACTCCCATCTGATGGGGAGAAAGTTTGGTGGCAGGAGTTTGATGTTACCCCGCGGCAATTGGAGGGTAGGTGCCTTTCCCTGCCTGGATATACACTATGCTACTTCTGTACATAATCATAAGAGTAGTATTTTATTAGTTGCCACAGTTTGACTTTTGTATTATTGACATACTTCACTTTGACCATATATTTATTAAAGCATTAACAAAAAGTATTATTAGATATGTCACATATCTAAATTTCCAAAATATGAAATCAAATTTTTACTAATAGGTAATAAATTAATTAATGACAAAGTTGTACATTGTCAATTATATGTCTTCAACAACTGCCGGCTACTAAACAATTATTTGGCTCCCGGTAAAAGTGTTTTTTAGAAATGAGGAGAGAAGGGATGGTGGTTCATTTTTTGACACCTGTTACTTTTTGCAGAAGTGAGCAACCAAATGCTAGAGTTGTACGAACAGAACAAGGCTGCTCCTTCACTAGCAATTGAAGCTGAAGGGAGTGTTGCTGGTGGTATCCAAACACCTTCCAAATCCTCTGCCACTGTTGAAGATCATGGCTGTGGTGTTCGCCCTACATCAAAGGTAGGAGAGTCCTCCAAACCGCCAGCTTCCTATATTGTGGGCCCTCCGAGGGTGGGAACTCAAGATCAAAGCCGTGGCGGTTCAGAAGGCAGCGTTTATAATCATTTTACTGACCTTGAGACTAACATAAAGCACATCCAACATGAAAGAGAGCTTTTGCCTGAAAACAGAGGTAAGGGAGATTTGAAGGAAAAGTACTACGGTAGGGATGGTAATAAAGTTGGACAGTCACCACAGGAGGTGATTAAGAAGATAGACAAAGACAAGGTTAAAGCAGCACTTGAGAGGAACAGGAAGTCCCGTGGGGATTTAACCAGGAAAGTGGATGATTATTTGGATGATGACGACCTCATTGAAAGAGAGTTGGAGGATGGGATAGAGTTGGCCGCCGAGACTGAAAAGGGCATTCTGGAAAAAAAGCAAAATATGGAAGGGGAGCTAGAAATGAATCAAGAAATGAATCAATTTGACCTCATGTGAGTGATGAATGTTTAGTCTTGCTTCTGTCAAATGAATCAATTTACCATAATGAACAGTCAGGCTTAACTTAGTTTTGACCTAAGTTTTCTGACTTGTGATTTTAGTGTTCCACATTTAAGCGAGTAATTTTGTAGTCTTGGAGAGTTGGTTGCTTAAAACATCCGGCATCAACACCCAAAATTGATTGGAGTTGTTATTCATTTTATGTATTACCAACATTCGATATGTATTACTCATTTTCTTTACTCATTCTTTAGATGTTATTTCATAACTACTTGTAATGATTAATGAGTGATATACTAATAGAACAATAAAGTGGGATAGAGGATTTTAATTCAATTGAATATGCAAAGAAACAATGTGATCTCTATTCTCTACAAACATGAGTAGAGTTTGAGTTGACTAAATAGGGTTCATTTGATCAATGTTGTTGGATTTTGTTTTGGACGTTGAATGGCTTGATTTTGTTCGGTTTGGCTTTGATAAATGTCAAGATGAAAACGGAACTAAGAAACGTTACTCCACTTTGGTTTATTTCGAGTGGGATATTTTCAATTAGTTGTTTCAGCTTTCACAGGTCTCAATTTATTTTGATCAGTTTGAACTTTGAACATTCAAAGCAAAATTTCAATCGATTTTTTTATAATTTTATTGGTCCAAATTTGGGGTGATAATGGGTTGGATATACAGCTATACCCACTCATCAATTATTCATATTTTACTCATACTCTTAAATTATAGGAAAAATTGATAGTAATAATCCCTACTATTGGCGGTCCGCTCATAGTAATCCCAATTATCAATTATTTCAGAATAATCCCAACTTTAGGGACCTTCCGCCTATAATGGTCCCTATAAATAAATTCTTGTAGTTTCTAAAGTGGATGCGAAGAGATATATCAAGTGATCCCTATAAATAATCCTAACTTTTAATTTTTACACTTAATTTCTATTTAAAATTCACTTGTTATAGGAGGTAATATTTGGTCATGGATCATTATTGGCGGACGGTTCATATAGTTGGGATTATACAAAAATAATCAATAGTTGAGATTATTGTCAGCGGACTGACAATAGTTAGGATTATTATTTTCAATTTTTCCTAAATTATATCCACACCTAACTTGTCCATCATGGGCGGGTTATCGGTGATTAACAGGTGAACATAAATAATTAAACTCCAAAAGAAAAGGTAAATAAGTTATAAAGAAAAATCATCAAAATTAAAAATAAAATTTAAAAATCATTGAATGATAATAAAAACTTGAGCAATTGAGCATGTCACAACCATCGATTTATAGGAATATTGCCTCACGGCCTCACTCATAGTAGGAGAAAAAAAATGATAGTGAATCACAAGGACTGTGAAACAAAAAAAAAACAAGTGATCGCCAAACAAACATGAAACTTCTTCCAAAATAAAATAAATCATTTTTATGTGATATATATATATATATATTAATTAATTATTAAATATATTATGGACTAGATGAGTGTTCATCCACACCCGATCCAATTCATCTTACATTCATACACACCAGATCCAATCCATCTTACATTCATCCACATTCGATCCAATCCATCTTTCAACCTACCCGTCACCCATTTTTCATCTATACGTTTTCGGATTTTTTTCGTCCACATTTTTTATTCGGATTGTCTGAATATTCACGAATTCGGGTGATATTTTCGGTCTTAGTCCAGATTTCACTTGGTCCGTTAAGATCTGTTTGATTTTAGTTGACTCCGAATTGCTCTTTTTCTTGTTCAATATCCAAACAAAAATGTTACTCCGTACATATTAACATAAACTTAATGCTTATAAAAAGAAAGAAAATATCCGACTAAAAATACTACTCCAATTGGTTGCTAGCGTTGTACGTGAACTAGCATGGGAATATGGGATGGATTTAAAATACTAATGATCTAAAAATACTACTCAATTGGAGTATTTAAGGCTTTCTTTTCCATAAAAAAGGCTTTCTTTAAAATTCTACGGACTCTATTATTAAGGGATGTTTGGTTAATTGACTTATTCACTTAGCGTTTAGGGTTTTGATCGATTGAATTTCTATGGCAAATGCCTTCTCACCGTGCTCGTCAGATTGGTCATCTCATACACACCTTACGCAAAAAACAACTGTAGGTGGAACAAGCAAGTGTTCTTCTCCAATTTGTTCGAATTTCTCTACCAAGGTATTCATCTCCCTTCACATTAATTTTCTTTTGGATCTATATGTTTTAATATGACAAATCAGTTTCTGAAACAAACGAAACACCCATATCCACATGATCTGTTTTTTTTTTTGGAATTTGGAATAGCACTCTAACTTAACTTTTAATCTAAAAACAAACACCCCTCCTGCATTAATGTGGGGATGGTAAACTCGGTTTAGTTTTCTTGGGATCATATACAAACCCGTCTTAAAATGCAAAATACAAAACCCGTGCATTAATGTATACATATTATATATAGTTGGGATCATATACAAACCCATCTGAATTTGCAAAATACAAAATGATCCTAGCCAACTAAAGCCGTTCGGTTGTTTTAATTTTAAGTAAAAAAATTTAAGTGAATTGAGAGTGTTTTGGACATTTCATTTACCTCTAACACTGGAAAGAAAATCACGACCAGTTTGCCACCACTCTCATTTTGTTAATATCTCTCGTTCCATAACTACGATCAATAGCTTCTCGTGTGACTCGTTCTTGCGCTTCTCATTCGTGTTATGTTCAAAGGCCACAGTTAATCACTACGTCACCAAACAACGTGAAATCGGAATCAGGTATGCCTCTATGAACTTTGTTTGAATACAAAAAAAATCTGACTAAAACTTTATGTTATTTGCGTATGATTGTGCATTATTTTTTAAATTGAATTGAAGCCTATAATTAAATGTTGCTACCGACAGCTTACTTAGCTCCATAATTCTCTTTTTCACTTATGTACTTCATTTTGCATAGACGACGATTCATTGGAGTACGTTTTACATCCCTAGCTTTCATTCACTTTCATAGACAAAAATTTAGGATCAAGATTGTCCTGTTTAATTTTAGTTCATATTTTTTTCTAGATAAACTTGGTATGTGTGACTATGGGAGTGTTTGCAATTGCTTCTGCTTAAAAAAAACACTTTTGGAGTGATTTGGAAAAAGTGATCAGTAGTAAAAGTTGATAGTGTTTGAGAAAAAAGTGATTTTGAAAAGTAAAAGTTGATAGTGTTTGGTAAAATAAGTGCTTTTTGTGTGATAGAAAAGGGAAAATCATTTTTCACACGCAAGCCGTGAAAAAGTAAAAATTGGTAGTGTTTGGTAAATAAGTGCCTTTTTAAGCCAAAAGCTGAGAGTGCTTTTTTTTAAGCGGTTGCAAACACTCCATATGTATCATGCAACATAATTTATTCAAATTATGAAAAGATGAAAAGATGTTTAATGTTAATCGTTTATCATTTCAAATGTCCAACTCTATAATTTTTTTGTGTATCATTTTTTGTTAATACAGGTTTGAAATGTAATTTAGAAGTTTCTCCTGGTTCTACAAAGTATTGGATTCCTAAATGTGAATCCGATAAGAAACCAGTTGCTGGCATGATTTTTCTTGATCTAGATGCTGGCATTAAATATTATTAAGAGTATTGCAGCTGAAGTGGGTTTTACGATTCGTCACCATAGACTAATGAAGGCAAAGGATGGTCATGTAATGTTGAAGTATATGATATGCAATAGATCGGGGTATAAGAATAGTAGTCGTACACCCGTACTGTTGTCGTTGACACTAGTATTTCTACATCTGAAGTGAGTAAGAAAAACAGGAAACATGTGTCAAATAGAATTGGATGCAAAGCTCTTTTAACTCTAAAATATGCCGAAGTGATGGCTTATTGGTCTTTGTGTTTGACGAGCGTTACAATCATTCCATGTGATTTAAATGGAAAAAGAATTTCAAAAGGTGAATATGAATTTAGAACTCAATCATCAAAAGTTTGTTCTGAATTGCTTTAGCGCAAATATTGGTACAAATGAAATCATATAGGTTGTATCAGAAGATTGTAGGGGGGCGGGGGGGTATTCTGGCATTAGTGCTACCGTTGTGGATTTTAAGAAGTTTTAGCGTGATCTTAAGGCTTATATAGCTGGTGTTGATGCCCAAATGATCATTGATAAATCATTCAGGAAGCAAGAGGGGTGCTCCGCTTTTTTCTTCGACTATGATGTGGACGATAGTAACCAGCTCACAAGAATGTTTTGTGCTGATCCCGTCTGCCGGAAGAACTATACATTTTTTTTGTAACGTTGTTTGCTACATATGAAACAAATTGTTTTATTTTAGTTATATTCCTTATAAGTTATATCAATTTTATTAAAATAAATCCATCTCTTATATGCATATATATCATAAATGCACTATGCACCTAGCTTTTTAAAACTGATTTTTACATTGTATTTATTATGTTGACAGGTATAATATGGTATTCAGTCCTTTCACTAGCATTGATAATCACAACAAGTGCATTACGTTTGGCATTGGATTGTTACTTAAGGAGGACGTGGATCCTACATTTGGCTTTTTACTCATTTATCCCATGCAATGGGACGTCAACCGGCATGCATTATTATAGATCAAGACCCAGGCATGCACATCGATATTGTAAAGGTATTTATAGCATCGAAACATCGGTACTGTATGTGGCATATAATGTCAAAAGTTACAGAAAAGGTAGGTCCGGTTAAGTAATAATGACACTTTTTATGTCTTCATCTACTTCAATTGTTTTGAGTCTTTATCTTGATTCTTGACACATCCTAGTTTGAACATAAGTGGACATCTCTCATGAAAGAATATGACTTGACAACACACTATTGATTTTGTCATGTGCTTGAGTTGCGCATATGGTGGATTCCTTCTTATTTTAGAGATATGTTTATCGCCGGTTTACTTTGTACAACGACGCAGTCTGCAAGTGAGAATTCATTTTTTCGAGAATTTACTAACCCACATTTAAGTTTTAGTTAAATTTTTAATGCAATTTGAGAGTGATATGGATGCACAAAGGCATACTCATGACAAATTGAGATTCAGAGTCTTACATTTCGGTTCTCAAGACTCATTTATCTATAGAAAATGCTGCCTCTAGAAGATAAAAAACAAAGAGGGTGAAAACATTTGAGGCAACCTTTTCCAATGGTAAAGTAGTCTTGAGAACCAGAATGTAAAGCTCTGAATCCGAATTCAATTTGTAATGAGTATGCCTTTGTGCATCCATTGCACTCTCAAATTGCATTAAAAATTCAACAAAACTGAAGTGTGATTTAGTAAATTCTCGAAAAAATAAATTCTCATTTTCAGACTAC